CCCAGCCCACACTCCAGGACAATGATAACAGAGGTGCTGCACCAGTCTCTGCTGTTTGGATACCACAGGTGGGCCAGGAGCATCCGCTGAGCACTGGCGGTTGATAGAGTGATGAATTTAAGGAGAAGTCCTGGGTAAAGCCCAGCCTTTGTCCAGCGGGGCCAGCAGCTTTCTCAGTGTTTTACTACATGGCTTTTCCTCCCTGTTTACATTTGAAGATGCTTTGAGCAAAACAAGCAGATGCGCTGTGAGCAGTTTGGATGGGGCTGTCTGTGTCTGCCCCACGGGGCTGGGCACTCACTTGGTCTCCAGTTTCTCCTCTTCCAGGGCAGACCTGGTCATATTTACAATGGAAAAACCCCAGGCGAACACAGGAGCCTTTTAGCCTCCTGCCACGCCCCTGCTACAAGGTGAAGTATCTCAAGGGCAGTACATATTCCTTGAAGATAACGCTCTTTCCTCCTCGGGGATGGCTTTTTTGTCCTACCAAGCAAGGGACAGGGCGAGCGCAGCTGCTGGTGGTGGCTGCCCGGAGGCAGATGGGGAGCAGGGCAGGCAGGAGGGACTGGGAGAGCAGCCCGGGCTCCTTTGAGACACGAGCATTTCCCAGGGCCTGGTGCCATGTCCAGAGATCTTGGTGACTGCTCCTGGGGTGCCACCCCAACCTGAAAGCCTTCCCTGAGGTGTGTCACCTGCATTGCTCCTGCCTCCAGCTCTGGGGCTGCTGCACAAGGTGTTGGCAGGGCTGGCAGGGAGGTTTGTATCATCTGGCTGATGTTTTTTCCTGGCTGAATTGTGGTGGCCTGCGCCTGCCTGCCTGAAGGGACCGTGCGTGGGTGCCTCATGAAGCCCTGTGGCTGCACCCGGCTGCGCACCCCTGGGGGCTCTGTGCAGAGGGCTCAGCCCTGGGGGTGCAGCCAGGGGCCACCTCTCCATCCTGCCCAGGGAGGGGGGCTTTGCCCAGGCTGTGTCCTGGCCTGACACACCCCTTCTTCCCGCAGGCCTCAGCGTGCCGGCCCAGTGCTATGCGATGCTCCCTGAAGCGCTACCTCACGGCTGCACTCACAGCCTCCTTCCTCCTCCTCCTCCTCTTCCTCCTCTATGGGGGCAGCCAGCAGGAACAGGATCCCCTGGAGGTGAGTCCCCCGTCCCACTGGGGCATCCTCCCTGCCTGCCTGACCCACACAGACCCCAACCCCAGCTCTGCTCCCTTCCCTGCACTGTATCACCCCCACACCCCAGCTCTGCCTTCTCCTCTCCCTGGGGCTGCCCCATGCACCTGAGCCTCCCCTGAGCTGGGAGGGCAGGACAGGGGCTCCCCCTCATTTCTGGTCCCCCCTGTTGTTATTCCCCCTCGCTCACGCGTGCCCATGGTGCTTTGGGGGTCTGACCTGGTTCCCTGTGGCTCCCATCCAGGTGGAGCTTAGGGGCTTGGCCCCAGCCACGGTTCTGCAGCTGCTGCAGCCCGAAGGAGCCCAGCACATCCTCCGGAACACTGACGATCTCTCTGCACTCCATAATGTTTCCTACCACCTCCTCGCTGGCTCCCTGTCACCCCACAAAAGTGAGTGGCCCCAGCATCGCTGGCTGAGCAGGGCTCTGAGTTGGAACATCTCTCCCAGCATGGACCTGCCCCATCACTGCCGGGGTGGGGAGGGGTCTGCTTCCAGCCTTTTTGGGATGGGGGACCTGCTCATACCTGGTGACCTCCCCCCCAGCCAGCCCTCACTGCTCTGCCTGAGGAGATGCAGGGGTAGAGAAAAGTCTGTGAGCTCCAAGCTTCTGCACCTTGGGATTGGGGTGACCACAGCCATTCTGAGTTTCCCAGACCTCTGTGGGAGTGTGGCTGAGAGCACATCTCCCTGGGGTTGAGTTTCCTACTCTCCCGTCAGGAAGATGGAGATGGTGGGGCTGGAGCAATGGGAGAACTGCATAGCGTGGGAGATGGGGGTAAAGCTCTCGGACAGGCGCACAGAAAACAACTCATATGCAAAGACCACGGGAAGGAGCTTAGGGCAGCCCCAGGCAAGCCCACGCTGAAGCCAGAGATCAAGTATGCACGGTGCTGCACAGACCAGCAGCAAGAGAAGCTGCAGCAAAGCTGAACAAATGCAGCCACAGCTGGGCTGCGGGGAGGGCAGAAGGATGCCTCACCCCGGGGGGCGGCACCCGCATCACGGAGCCACACCACAAAGCCATCTCTTCCCTGTAGACTGTCTCTGCACTGTTCCTTCCCCAGGTTTGGCTATTTTTAAGGTGTTTTTCCCCAAGTATTTCTTCTTCAGAGGAGGCCTGACTTCCATCCTGTCCTCTCCCTGCCATTTGGGCCAATTTTGGGCACCTCCTGAGGCGCTGGGGGCTTCAGCTTCAGAAAGGACCTGCCAGCCTTGGACATGGTGCCATAAATATCATTATCCATGGGTGTTGGCCATGCAAAGAGCTTTCTGGAGCTCCCTCCTTGTGGCCTGTAGGGAAAAACCTCACCACGGGACATCCCAGATCACCCCTCAGCCCGCTAACACCCACCCTTTGCCTTGCAGAATTCTTGGCAGTGGGATTGGCATCAGTGCGGCGGCCACGTGGCTACTACCTCCCAGCCACGCTCCAATCCCTCTTCAAGCAGTCGACGGAGGAGGAGCTGCAGGAGATGGTGGTGGTGGTGCACCTGGCTGACGCAGACCCCAGGTGGAATATGCGTGTGGCTGCCAACATCGCCCACAAGTTTGCCCACCACATCCTCCTGGGCCGGCTCCTGCTTATCCACGCTCCCCACGAGTTTTACCCCACCCTGAAGGGCCTGAAGAGAAACTACAATGACCCAGAGGAGCGGGTGAGGTTCAGGTCCAAGCAGAATGTGGACTATGCCTTCCTCCTCGCCTTTGCCGCCAACCTCTCCTCCTACTACTTGATGATTGAGGACGATGTGTGGTGTGCCAAGTCCTTCCTGACAGGCATCCGCAAGGCACTGGCCTCCCAGGAAGGCTCCAACTGGGCCACCCTCGAGTTCTCCAAGCTGGGCTACATCGGTAAGCTCTACCGCTCCAGTGACCTTCCTCGCCTGGCTCGCTTCCTCCTCCTCTTCTACCAGGAGATGCCCTGCGACTGGCTGCTGGTCCACTTCCGCCTCCTGCTCACCCAGAAGGACGTCATCCGCTTCAAGCCCTCCCTCTTCCAGCACATGGGCCTCTACTCCTCCTTCCAGGGCACCGTCAACCGGCTGGAGGACGACGAGTTCCAGGCTGATGCCTTGGACCTTCCAGACAACCCACCAGCGGCCTTGTTCACCAGCATGTCCGTCTTTGAGAACTACGAGCCCCTCAAGGCTTACAGCACAGCAGAGGGGTATTTTTGGGGTAAAGACCCAACAGCTGGCAGTGTTTTCTCCGTCATCTTCCAGCAGCCGGCCCGTGTCACCCGTGTCCGGGTGCGCACAGGCTCCGATGAGCGCCGGGGTGATTTCCTGCACACGGGAGTGCTGGAGCTGGGCCGGCGGCGGCGGGCTGATGGCCGGGACTGCTCTGCCTACACCACCGTGGGCACCTTCGAGAAGGGAACGTTCGAGCAGCGGGGGCTGGAGAGGGGCACGCCCGGCCCTGTGGAGTGCGTGAGGATCCGTGTAACCCGGGACCAGAGCGAGTGGCTCATCATCCAGAGCATTGACATCTGGACCGCGGCAGGTACCTGACCACGTGTGTGGCGGGTTGCTGAAGTGGCTGGATTTTGCACTGAGAGGGCCTTTAATTTTTCTCACTGCCTTTTTTGATAAGGAATTAAATTACTGACTCCTGCTGGCGCTGCCACTGCTCTCCGGAGGGTCGGCAGGCGCTGCTGAGAGGGGGGTGGGAGCAGGGCCCAGTGAGCAGTGCAGGGGGTACAGGAGAGACTTGGGAGTTTCAAGCTGGGCAGTAGAAAACATTTTCTCCTGGGGAGGATGGGGTTACAGGACAAAGCTAATCAGCTAATTGACAAACCAAATAATTAACCGGGCAGTGGGATTTCTGTAATGTCGCCACACCATTCCTTCCCCATCTAAGTTTTCTAACCTGCCCGACTACTGATTTCTAACCTGAATTTTTTTTCCCCTCTCTTATCCTGTTTCAAGCTGTTCTTGGGAGGGGTCAGGGGAAGGTGTGTGGGTGCCGCTCCCCAAACCCCTTGTCCTCCACGATGAGGGACATGGGGAGCAGGAACCCTGCCACTGGTGACCCCGATGTCTCAGTGCTGATCAGAGGGGCACTGGCCACCAGATGGACCCAGCACACCGGCTTGGTCCCTGGACAGCCACAGCAGCGCTGGTGTTCAGACCCTTCCAACAGATTTTTCCCCCTCTCGAGGGGCTGCAGTTCCCAGGGACCATTCCCTGTATCCATGAAGGAGTCACAATGAGGGGGAAGATGGGCTTTCTAAAGCAGGGAGAGAGGTCCAACAATTGAGCACCATAGAACGCAGAAAATGTGACCTCAGTACAGCATGAAGCTCTGGGTACTTTTTAGCCCAGCAAAGGTGCTGAAGAGTAACACACAAAGCCCCCAGAAAGCTTCTGCTGGGATTGGTCTGGCAGGATGAGCGTGGAGGGCTGGATTCTGCTGGGCAGCTCAACCAAAAGCTGTTGGCATTTGCACACGAGACAGTGACCGGCGCCTCTCCCAGTTCAGCTTTTAGCAAAAATTGCTTGGTTTTACACAAACGAGGAATTCTGCTCTGCTCGGCCTTCCTGAGCAGCCTGACACGGACTTGTGCCAAGCAGGACTGCTCTGGTTTACTGGTGTTTAAGCCTGGCTCTCCCTGAGCAAGACGGTCCTGCTGTGAGCACAGAGGGACCCACCTGCAGTGCCAGAACACCCGAGGGCTGTAACTACAGCTCAGTCTTGAGGTCTTGCATCAACTCGCCTCTGGGCACTGGAAGGCAGCCTGGAGAGCAGCTGCGCAGTGCTGGGAGCCCCAGACCTGCCGTGATGGGACTTTTTCCCTGAAAAAAAAGCAAGCAGCAAGCCATATAATAGATCTTTGTCTGCATTTAATACAGAGATGCTACATGATTAACTCCAGCACCTTCCTGACATTGTGAGTGTTCTCAGTGGGATCAATACACACAGTGCGGAATCCCTTCAGCCTCCTCCACCCAGCCCAATGCAGTCAGAGCTCTCGGAGTGTTTTGAGCAGCACAAGTGTCCCCTTTGCAGGGCCCCAACACCCAGAGAAGTGTTTACAGTGTTCCAGTAGAAGCCTTTGCTCCCGTTCTCTTGGACACCAATGCTCCTGACCACACTGTGAGAGCATCAAGGGTTACCAACATGGGTATAAACAGAGAGCTTTCTCCTCAGTATGTTTTTATCCACTGCTAAAGCAGGAAGAGACATAAATGTACATGAACCTTTTACCTGTTGGTCTCTTACTTGTGAATATACTAATCAGTTTTGTGATATTCACTTACACAGAAACAAGCTGCAGTCTCAGTTATGCTGGTGTAAATCTGAATGGACTCCACTGAAGAGAGTGGAAACCCACTCTGTTTACACCAGGATAAGTGCAAGCAGCAGCTGAGCACTGGCAGGGAGTCTCCCCCCGACCCCCCCCCTCCCACCAGGGCAACGCACTGCGACACCCAGTTAACATCGGTGCAAACTGGAGGAGGCGGCGGCTTCTTCATCCCAGAGGAGCGCCACATAATTTATCCCACCAAAAAAATCATCCCACTACTTTTATCCCAGAAGACTCAGCCAGCTCCCAATGCTCCGTACCCAGACCCCTGTCTCCGATGCGGGGGTGGGCTGGCCGAGCAGGGGTCGCAGGGTGTGGAGTGCAGCCGCCGCTCGAGCCAGCCCCTGAGCCGGGCACAGCGCTGCCTACGACCGTTCACATGCAGCCACGGGGCTAACGATCAGCGCAGACCTCGGCCGGGCAAGGGTTAGGGAGCCTCTGGGCTGAGAGGTAAAGGGCAGGGGGACAAAACCAGAGGCAAGCATTTTGGTCTGCTTCTCTCTATGAAGACGGTAAATCAGAGAGGGTCAGAGCTTTCAGTCAAACACCACGGATGTCCCGAAGGATGACTCGCTGTCCGTCTCGACCAGCGCAGCTACCCTGTCTCTTGGGAAGTGGTGCTCAGCAGAGATCTAGCTCAGCATCTTGTGGCGGTCGAAAACTGTCTTCCTCTGCTCCTGCACTTGGCGCTTCCAGCGCTGCTGGGCCCCCTCCACCCTCTCCAACACCGTGTTGGCTCTAGCACCAGATGGGGTGGGGACTGCGGCCAAGGAGCGAGCGTCCTGCAACAGAAACAAACGGTGAAAGAGATGAAGGCATGCCCAGCCTGAACACAGAAGGTGGTGGCTTGACCCCAGGAGAAATTTCAAACTGAAAGAGCAATTCAAGGCTTGAGTTGTCCTGATGAAGAACCTCATTTTCAGAGCTCCTCAACACCAGCCCCCCAGCTGCAGCTCTTGGGGGTCACCCATGTCAAAAAGTCACAGGCCCCAAATAAAAAGTTGCCAGGAGAGGAACTGCACTAAGTCTAAACCTGTGCTGGAAATCCACTGCCAGGAGTCTGCACTGAGCCACTGCTAAAACAAACGGCATCACCCTGTGAAATTGTGCCAACAATTTCCGCTGTCTGCCGTGCACGAGCTTACACAGTAGCTGCTCATCTGTTTCTTGGATGGTGCTGCAGGACTTTTGTCCTGGCTTGCTGTCCAGGCTGCTCCAAACCACCACGTTTACACCACAATAATGTCAGAAGGCGCCTTGGCTCCATCGTGGCACACAAACACCGCAGCAATCACAAGGCCTATCCCAAAGAGCTTACAGTCCAGCACACTGGAGTTAAGATAAGCCTCACCTAATATCAGTGTGCACCTAGATCTAAACCTGAATTACTAGTGTGGAGCAAAAGCATACTTTTAGGATACAATTCATCTCCTCTGCAGGACCTCCTTTTTTCAGCAGAGGGAGGTAATGGATACTGTGCAGGTCAGAGCAGCTACTCCTCACTTACATCAGCGTATGAAATAATTGAGCCAAACAGTTTATACTTACAACAAAGTATAAACAGGATAGTCTGATCCAGTGGTTTTCTCAGACTAGGAAAGGAGAGTATCTTCAAATATTGCAGCTTCCCTTCTCAAAGTGCAGTTGAGCTCCTCAGTAGCATTGAGAGTCACCCATTGCTATGGAACTGCCTCCTCGGGAGCCTCCTCCCAGCAGCCGGGATCCTGGGGCAGCAGCCCAAGCACAGCCTGGAGCTCCACCAAGGGAAGGAGGTCAGATCAAGGAGAGAGCTCTGCCTGGCACTGCACCCCATAAACTGCCTGTGTCTGACTGAGAAAGCCCCAGGGGAAGCTGTGTCACAGAGCCACACACTGCACTAACAGGCAGCAAGTCTTCGACAGCCCTTGCAACCCACAAAGAGAGTGGGAGCCACAGATGCAATCAAGCATGAGAGCTAATCACTGTGCCTGCAGCCACTCAACTCCTCCACACTGGCCATCAGCTCTGCCTCCAACACTTCCTCTCAGAGACCATCCCCATCTCAGCCTTCTATATCTCCCTACAAGAGAAGGAAAGCCTCAGGGGAAGGGGAAAAGACTTACAAGTCAGGGTGCTCTCGTTCTGAAATCCTCCAGGAATCATTCCCCCTAAAGCACCGCCTCTCTCCCAAGGGCTAGGGTGTTGTATGCTGGATGCTGAAATTGCATGAATTTCATGCAGCAAGAAATTTGTTCTTCCCCAAAATCTGAGGGAGGAGGGGGCCTCTCTCTTTGCTGCTGGGTCCTAATCTTCTTGCCCAAGATGTTGTACGCCAATGTCCCCCCCAAAAATGGGATCTGAGTGAAATCCTGCTCTGGGGAGAGGCACAAGGAACAAGATAAAACAGGGCCCAGCTAGCACCACGTTTCAGCAAATAATTAAACCCATCCTTTCCTGGAAGCTCACCACCACCTAAGTACAACCAGGACACTGCACAAACAGGAGAACCATTTGACTTTTGGTTCCATCTAGATGGACATACCAAATTCAGGCCACTTGGTGAAAAGCCATCCCTCTGCCCCAGAGGGCAGGTCTTGGCTTGGGCTTATGATACAGAACTTGTACTTCAAATATTCCCTTCTGCTTCAGCATGATCTAAATGTTTACCTGTGTTAAGTGCCCCAAAAGCAACGGCACTGGCCCCATGCTGGATCAGAGGGGACAAGCATGAAGTCACTCTGTTTCCCCATCAGCTGTTCTCTTGTCACCCTACCACCCTGCCTCCACCATGACCGCAACCACCCGCGTGCACCCTCACCTCATTCTCCTCCTCATTGTGCAGGGGCTGGGTATAAGCATCTGGCTTCCGGATCAGAGGGTCCACCAGCACAAGGAAAGCCATGTAAAGCAGCAGTGCCCCCACCACCGACAAGTAAATTATGATGATCACCTGCAGTTAAGGACACCACAGTGGAAAAGGATCAGTAGTGTAGGTAAGAAGCACCACAGAAGCCAGGAAGCTCTCTTCACAGTTGCCTCTGACGTTCGCTCTCATTCTAATTTTGCCCACTGGAAAGTCTCTTGCACTTGGAGGAAGGCGGGTGAGACACAAGTGCCATCACTGCATAAACCGTGTAGATCTCCGCACTGTGCCAATTTAGAACATGTCAAACCAACAAGACCAACAAGTTGGGTCCCTGCTCAGAGGTGCTTGGCACTGTCACACCTCCTCAGCAAGAAGACTGGGTTCCTGTGCAGCGGGCTCCTTGCTGCCAGCAGCCCTCCTCTCTCAGACACGGTGCCCCTGGCACTACCACCATGTACTAGCTGTGATAGTTTTATTTTCCCTTTCTGGGCTCTTCTCCAGGAACCCACGGGTCCAGCTGTGCCTGGGAAGGTGTAGCACAGCAAGGAGAAGGAGCCAGCCACAGGGAGCAGACCCACAGTTACCTTGATGGTGGTGGTGCTGCGCTCCTCATACTTGCACTCACAGAGCAGGCAGTAGGCCTCCACATCATTCCCCGGCACCGGCATCGGCTCCACAACATGCAGGCAGTTGCTGCAACACAAAGAAACCAAAATCAGCAACAGGAGAAGGTGAAACCAATGCTCCATGGAAGGATGCTGGGGTGACTTTTTCTGTGTCCCAGCTTGCCTGTCAGGCTGATAATGCTGATCTGGTTTTACAAGTTCCCCTCACAGCTCAGCTAGACCAGAGTCCCACCTGCAGCACCTTCTGTAGGGATCCAGTCCAGCTGAAAGGGACTGAAGGGTTACACCCTCCATCTGCTGAGAGCTGTGGCTTAAATAAATAAATAAATAAATAAATCATACCGCCCAGATTCCTCAATCTCTGTTCAAGAAATGCCCCTCGCCTGGGTTGGACATCACCTACCAAAACACCTTCCTCTGCAAATGCACAGGCAGGGAATTTACTTCCTTAGCACCAGCTGGAGACTCCCAAGCGATGGCTTTCCTGGACTGACCCTTCAGGCTTCAACCCACAACTCACCAGTCCTTCTGCGACACATTCTTGTTGTAAATGTGCCCACTGATGTTCCGGTATGGGGGACAGATGCACTTGCAGCGGATGTCCTCCGAGCTCTGCAGAAGCAAGAGGAGACACATCAGCAAGCAAACACATGCACATTCTGCTGCCCTCACCACCCGGGGGTGTGGGAAAAGGCAAAACACCCTCCAAGAGAGCAAAGGCTTCACACTACATCTTCCTGCGCTGCTTCCCTCACATCAGTAGCTTCACAGTTTTAAGATGTCTTGAGCACCTCTGCTCCAGACACCAGGTATTTTTCAAATAAGTTTTAAAACGCACTCCAAAACACAGCAGAAGGCAGGGCAGAGGCCATTGTCACATACATCCACAGCTCTACATATCACAAATACACATCTGCTATAGCATTCTTTATCTTTGCAAACTTCCACAGAAAAATGGCTGCTTCTCTGCCATTTGTGGGTTTTGTGCCTGAAGCTGTTCACTCACCTTGCTGGCTTGCGCTGGAGGAGAAAGGATGCAGCACAGCAGCGCGATCAGCAGCACAGAGCTCACACACTTCTGCGTGCACTGCACAAACATCATGGAAACCTGAGAAAATAAAAATTCACATCCAGGACAGAGGATCTCAGCTGAATGAAGCCAGAATGAGTTAGTTTGAGCTATTTTTTTTTGGCCCACCTGCCTCTATTTTGCCCAGGAAGTAGAAATTTATCCCTGAATCAAGACTGATGCCAGTCAGAAACTCCTGGAAACACTTACACAGATCCCAAGAAACACTCCTATCAAAAAAGCTTCCACCATCTAAAGCCACACATCCAAACTACCACAGTCCTGCAAAAAATACTGCCGAGTTCCCTACAATTTGACCTCTGCAACTCCACATAACCTCCTGTTACTCTGTTACTATGGTGGAGATCTGCAACAGGTATTTCACTGCTTACAGTTTTGCTCAGTAAAAGATACAGAACTGGGAGAAACATGGACCAAAAGCAACCTACAGAAGTACATGGGGCCTCACTGCAGCACTGTATAATAAATGTTAAATCATTCATCTTCTGATACTCAAAGTTTTGCTTTGAGTCAGCATATGGCTCAATGTATTTTCCTCTCTTGCGAGCCATGAGCTATGGCAAGGGGGTGGAATATTTACCAATTCCTAAACCTCCTTTATCCCAAAATACCTGTTGAGTAAAATTCTAATTTTTTAAAACTATTTCAAGTTGCTAGCTTGGTAGCCTTTTGTTACATATGCATAGATGAAATTGTTCTAGAGACGCGTGTTTGCACAAATCCAAAAGAATAGGAGTTCATTTTTTTTTTTCCCCACAAAAAGCAAAATTAAGTCTTTTTTTACCCGCTTAGAGACCAAAGGCACAGCAGGCCTCCTGGTGCCACCTTGGGGAGAGCTCTGAAAAGCCACTTCAGCACAGCTTTATTCAGGGAAGGTAATTTACACCTTCATTAATCAGCTCCATACGACACACATAATCCCACTGCTACTCCAGGAGATTGTACTCTATTATCTAACATAATTCCATTAGTATTTACATCACTGGAATATTCTATCACTGTTTGCTTTATCTTATGTCCACACTCTAAAAATTTATGTTATGGATTACAAACACTGAATTCCTCTCTTCTTTATCTAAACAAAACACTAACCACTTCTAACAAGGTGACCTGACAAAACATACTAAAATGCATTCCAGTCCTATCATCTTATCACAGGATTTCTTAACCCTTTACAGAAATCTCCTGAAACAAAGGTTGTTTCTTTAGAGACACACTTGCACATCAGGGTTTTAGCTCTTTACCAAAAATTCTGGCTAACCCAGGACTTATTTGAGCTGCACGGTGCACATTCCCCAACGTGTTTTTGGGCTACTACTTGTTTGCATTTTTAACTCAACAATGCAGCACATACCTAGAATTTAGGTTTAGCCCGCTCAACTAAATTCAGGTCATCCGAACAACTCGTAACTCTCATTTTTAATAAAAGCAAGGTAAAACACGTGGTTTAATAAAAGCAGGGGAAAATACCATGTTTACCAGTAACAAAATTAAAATTTGGAATGACACCTAGGCAGACTCCACCCATCACGAACTGTCAAACACCAGCGGCCACACAAAGGGCGGTTTACACAAAGCTCTTTCAAGCTTTGCGGGTCCAAAGGGGCCCTTCATAGATGTCTTAAAGCTATTGTCTTCCAGACAGACCGCCGAGCTTACAGCAGCCATCTGCTTAAAAGCACCTGTCCCCCGACCCCAACCCAGGAGCACTCTGGATGCTGGTGATGGAGCGGGACTCGCGCGTGGCGAAGGTCTCGGAGGTCGCGACTGAGGAGCGTGGCAGCTCCCAGCGAGACCCCCCGAGGAATGGCCACAGCACGACTGCCCGCACCCATCCCGGGCTCTTCCCCTGGGGAGCAACCCCAACAAACTCTTCACATTCAACATCACCTGAAGCTCCTCAGGCTAAATCTCTGACGGCTCCCGCTCGTTGCCCACCCCCGCCCCACGCCGGGATCTGCGCTCTAACCACCCCCGCCCCGCTCGGGCCCCCGGTCCCACGCCAGGAGTGGGATTTCGCCCGGCGGCGGCGACTCAGTTCCCACCGGAGGGCC